TCTAAACCTAAATCTAAACCTAAATCTAAACCTAACCCTGAACCTAACCCTAACCCTAACCCTTACCTTAACCCTAATCGCGGTTTTGTGGGCACGGTTTTGTCGGCGCACTGTTGTGGGTGCGATTTCAATGTCGCTCTTTTCTCGCTGCGGTTTTGTGGGCGCGGTTTTGTCGTGCGCGCATTTGTCGGGTCACGTGATTTGCTTTCTAATTCATTGTAAAAATGATACTGTAAGTTTGTTTTAAGTAGAACAGACCAAATGGACAGAAATATTAGGACAGTAGCGAAGTAAAAAGCATTTAACATTTGACCTCGGGTAAATCTGGATTAAATCCTTTATAACCAGACAATGAAATATATTTAGATCAGGTTCAGCACATTAAACTATTTGTTTAGCTGTGGTTATTAGATAATTTAAAATAGATTAGGTCAACACATTGTCTTATAGCTTCCAAATGACTATGGAGATTCTCAGTCATCCAGGTCATGGTTGTCCCAAAGGTGCTTTTTTCAAGGGGAAACTGGACTTTCTGGTTTTTCTTTGAAGATGTTTCACTTCTCATCTAAGAAGCTTTGTTAATAAGACTGGATGGTGGAATTAGGGTACCCCTCCAAGAAGCGAAACATCTTCAGAGAAGAACCAGAAAGTCCAGTTGCCTCTTGGAAAAAAGCATCTATAGCTTACAAACCACATTGGTTAAATTCACACAATGCCAAGCCACAAATAATACATTAACCTATTCCCAGACAGCAAATTGACTTGTTCGAATGATAAACTAAGAGGATCTAAAGTATACTGGAAGATTTAGAAAGATTCTCGTAAGAAGGTGATGGAACAGCAAGAAACTATTTTAGAACAGCCAAATTAGGCCAAAATACACATGTCAGTCTTTGAGATGAGAGATGCTGAAAAGTTTTCAATCCTTACAGTTTCAGAATTTTGATTTGATTTTCACTAATGAGATCTTAATCCTAATTTTAAGAGAAATGCCTTTAGTGAACAATTACTGTAAAAGCTTTTCTTTTTTATCTAATCCAGTATACTTCCGATTAACACAACTAAAATTCTCATCATTCCCAATAAATTGGAGGGGAGTCTGATTGGGAGAAAATAGTCATTTCCAGTTTTATAAGGTTTGTTATGCAGCACAGTATTTAGATTTGTTTTATATACCAATCTTTCTTATAAAACTATTGCACAAATGTCTAATAACATTTGTGCAATAGTTTTTGTCTTCTAAATGGATAGAAAAAATGTATTTTTAAGTATATTAAACCAGTAGACTTGCCAGTCTATATCTTAGCAGGAAGTTTTGGAAGGTGAAAAACATGGGAAAGGGATTTTAGGTGCATATTTAGACATCTAGGAGTAAATAATCTCAGAAAGGAATTAAGACTAAATTTAAAGTATTTGGAAATCTAATGCACAGCTGCAGGGATATTAGGTATTTTAAAAGGTCAAAATGAAGGGGTGGGGAGCTCACAACTGACATCCTGGTTTTTTTGGTGCAACACACCATAAAAAAGGTGTATGGTTTTTATTGTGTGGTTGCCATCTTGTTTATTTTTCCACCTCCTTTGTGGATATCATAGCATCTCTATAGATATATTGTACACACAGACATACTATTGCAGAACAATCCTGTAATGTGTAGATTATACAAAAAGGTATCAGAGGTTCAAAACAGGACTGTGTGTTCTACAAAAGGGACAACTTCACATCTTGAACAAATTGCAAATCACTCTGCTCCCATTTCTATATATATATAGAGAAAGTCTAATAAATCAGGTTAATTGACTGAAGTTTTTTATTCCCACAGGAGAAACTGAAAGTGTGCCAGTGATTAACCCTGCAACACAAATTGCCCAGGTAAAAAAATAATGAATAAAATGCGTTAAAGAATCCCAGTTATATAAAGAATTAGTCAGACTTTTGAAATCAAAGTGTAATTCAAACTAAATTTTAAAAATCAGTATAAAACAAATTAATCATAATTATTAGTAATTATACTAATAAGATATATTTTTATATTTAAAACATCGTCCCTTCTCAGTCTGTTTTATGGAGCTTATCAAGACTATAACTTAACTTTTCAGGACATGTGTATATTTCCCTGCCCGTTTCCTATAATACCCTGTGTAGGGTATTATAGGAATTGCACATACGCAAAGCTACCCCATTGGATATCTACCAGACCAAGGCAGTCCACAAAGTACAGAAATCTTAAAAAAGATTAATGTTTAAAATCCACTATTTTCAACTGAATTTAAGGCTATTCACTTGAGATTTCTGAAATGGAGGCAGTAAAAGGGAATAGTAGAATCAGGAAAGCCTAAATGCTTGTGAAGATACACAAGCTACAGCATTCTGCAGAGAATGTCTACTCACCCTCTTCTTGAATACATTTGATAAATAGGACACAAAACCTAGATGATGGCGATAATGCATGTGGCCTCAGAATAATCTTGAGCGCAAAGCTTCACATTACAAGTTTGTTGTTGCAGTACTTTGTGCAGGATGGTTTGATACTAAGTTTCTCTGGCACATTTTTCATGGGCTTGTAATGAAAAACAAACAGAGGGATGGATGAAGAACAAGTAGAATGAACAGGGAAAGAATGTTTATTGTAATTCTTGTTTTTGGGATAAATCACAGTAGGCTTGGCCTGTGAAAATGATGGATGACATGTAATACCCATGTACCTGTACTTATTATTGGACTTCCCCATTAATTATGCGGTCCTGAAGGAAGTTCAGCAAAAATTAGTGAAGTAGAGTATATGTTGATTATTCCTTGCACTGAGAATGGTTCCAAATGCTTTTCAAGAAAGTTGTAAGAAACAAGGGAGAATTTCTCTTTAGGAGGGTGCATTTTTAGCAGAATTTATGTGGCAGAAAGAAAAGGGTGGTGGGTTTTTTGTTTTTTTTTAGGATTTGGAATCCCATTGCAGAAAAAGAAATTGATTTTAAATAAGATGTAATTAAAATTATCAATTTTTTTCAAAATTTCAGGATTCCGAATTTTAAAAAATACAGTAGAACCAACAACCACCACCTTTAGCTTATTCACCTATTTGTCTTTTAAACTACTATCTAAGGGCCAAAGTCAAACCACTTTAAAACCAAATCAACTTTCCTCCCAAAAGAAGGGGATGAGGGAAACCTGGTAACTGTACTGTAGTATTGAAATATTAGTGGCTTGTGATGAATGGCAAGATTCAGTGTATGAAGTAGACTAGAGAATTGTTTTTTCATATAGGGGCTCAGTAGATTTCAATTGTTTCATTCTGCTCATGCTTGGTCAATTCTTTTAGCTTCCTGATTGGATGACGGAAGACACCTGGGGTGTGTGGCAGGTTACACGCATTGTTTTCTACACTAACACAGAGAGTTCTGGATTCTAGATAGAGGATTGTACTATAGGATGAATGCAGAGGTGGGTTCCTGCCGGTTCTAACCGGTTGTAGTTCCCTTGGGCATGAAACCAGCTGAGTGACCTTAAGTCACTTTCTCTCAGCCCTGGGAAGGAAGCTACTTCTGAAAAACCTGCCAAGAATACTGCATGTTCAGACAGTCTCCAAGGATTGGGCATGATTGAATGGAAGATTTAAAAAGGAACATGATAATCTATTACCTGCTTAGACTTTCACACCATTTTTGTCACATGATTAGCAATCCACTGTGCATGGCTGATGAGCTGCTATGCTGCCTGGTTTTGTATGAAACTGGCCAGTGTAGTCTAGTAGTTAAGATGATGGACTAGCAATGGGAAGATCCCAGTTCAAGTCTGCTCTTAGCCACAGAAGTTCACTTGTTGGCTTTTTGCCAGTCATGCATTTTTAGCCTAACCTACTTTGCAGGGTTGCTATGGGGAAAATATTGAAAGAAGGATTGCTATGTATATTGCCTTAAGTTCCTGAAGAACTTAAGAATAGAATAGGGAGCATACCAGGGGTTGTGACTTTAAATATATACCTTTCTCCCTGGCTCAGCTGATAA